GCCCGGCGGCGGCCTCGCCCGCCCGCGCCGCCTGCCCTCGGGAGCCGGGCGGGCGGCGCGAAGGCGCCGCTGCCGCCGCGGGGAGCCGCGCAGCCCCCGACCTCTCCGCTCGACGAGGGCACCGCGTGCCCCGGCCTGCCGCCGGCGCGGGCACGGAGGCGACCCACAGCTCGGTGCCCGGGAGCGGAGCGCCGTGCCTTACGTAAGCTCCTCCGGCGGCCGCAGGCGCGGTGAGCCGGGCGGGGCTGGGGCCGCTCGCGGGCCGGGCACGGCAAGCGCCTGCAAGAGCGCGCCGGCGGAGCCGAGCGGGGAAGGGGCGCCCGCGCAAGTTTCCAGAGCGACGCTTGCACGCCGAAGGGGCGCCCGCCTCCGCCGAGCCCGGCGTGCCCCCGGCAGGCCACCTTAAGGTCTCCTTGGGCGGAGGATGCGGGAGCAAGCTCTCCCCGGCGCGGGCGACCTTCCAGCGCCCGCGGGCCGCGCGGAGAGGCCCCGGGAGCCCGCCGGGCGAGCGCGAGCCCCCGCCGCGCCCGGCCAAAGTTTCGTCTTTATGTCGCGGCGGGCGCAGAGCGAGCGCTCAAGTTCGGTCCCGGCGGGGAGGGCGCGGGCGGGCGAGCGAGCGAGCGGAGGCTCCCCACCCCTCGCTCCTCGCCCGCCTTGTTGTGCGCGCGGCTGCGTGCGGAGGGATGGATGGCGGCTCCGCCGCGCCGCTCCGGCCGGCGCCTCCGGGCTCTTCAGCACCACTGGCGGGGGAAGCCGGGCCCCAGCCGCTCGGAGCGGGCCCCCCAGCAGCCCTCCCCAGCGCTACGTCTACGCTTGGCCGCCGCGGGCGCGGGGGGGGCGGACAGGGAGAAAGGGCGCGTTCATGAGGACTACAAAGTTGCAAATATGGCTCCCCAGTCGCCCTCGCCTGCTCCGCTGTGCAGCAGCGGCGGAAACGGGCGATCGCCCCCCCCAACTTTCTCGCAGACCCCAGCCCCTCGACGCCGCCCGGGACCCGCGCGAGCAACTCCTGCGGCCCCGCCGGAGCGCCGCGCCAACTCGACGAGCCGCCGCCGCCGCGCCGAGCCCGGGGCGAAGTGTTCTCGCGGCGCGGCTTCCCCGACCAGCCGGGCAACCTTGGAGGCGGGCGGAGGCTCCATCATCGCTCCCCCCGCTGGTCCAACTCCAGCGCGCGGGCTGGGGGCACCCCGTGCCCGGTTGGACACGCAGCCACGCGCACACGGATGGACGCGCGCGCGCGCATACACACACACACCCGCCCCGTGGGCACCTCAAGGGCAGCGGCGGTGGCACCCACGACGGCAGCTGGCACGGCCGGCGCCCCCTCCCTCGTCCCCCGCCCCGGGGCGCGTCCTGCCGCTGGTCCGCCCGTCCAGCGCGGCCCCATCGACCCCCTCGGTCCGGGGAGAAAACATCTCCCCGCGCGGGCTTACGTCGGAGGGCGTCCTGTTCCGCAGCTCTAAGTGGATCCTTTTCTTCATGTCCATGTCCCTGGTTCCGCAGGAGGCTCGCTTCGACTCTTGGCGCGGCGCGGCGCTCGGCTTCCTCTTTGTATGGACACCGACGGAGCACGGCAGAGACCCCCCCTCCCGCCCCCCCGACCGGAGCCAGCGCGCGAGGCAGAGGGACTTTGAGCGCTCAACCAGCTCCGCTTGGAATCCCCCAACGCGGCCAACCAGCGTGCACACTAGCCTGCTAGCTGCGGAGGCGGGCGCTCCGGGGGCAAGCGCTCCTCCGTGACGGACCGGCGCACGAGCCAGCCGCGGCTCGGCAGGCGCGCGCAAGGGCCAATGGGAGCCGGGCAAGGGCGGCGGGAGCCAATAGGCGGGCGCGGCGCGGCCGGCCAAGGAGAAGAGCCCGGTAGGGAACGGGCGAGCCGCGGAGCAGTCGGGCTTGGCTGCGGAAGGCGACGGGCGGCGTGTGGCGCGGATGCGGCGGCGGCCTTGCCCGCGGGAGGGGCCCGCGCGGCTTTGGAGCGGGCCGGCGGGGCGTGTCTCGGGCGGCGGCGGCGGCCCCGGGCGGGGCGCGGAGCCCGTGGCGGCCCCTCCCGGGCCGGGCCCGGGGCTGAAGGGAAGGCCGGGCCGGGTCCAGGGCCAGCCGCCCTGCTCGGGTTGGGAAGGGCGAGCGGGCGCCAGGGCTGGGACACGCGGGCCGAAATGCCGGGGGACTGGAGCGCGTGAGCATCCTGGCCCGGAAAGCGCTGCGCCCGATCCCGAGAGGCTTTTGGATGGGAGTTGATCGGGCGCGGGGAGACGGGAACGGGCGAGAAGCCTCGCTCCCCCCGCCCTGCTTGCCTGGGCAGTGGGAAGGCGCTGCCGGTTCCCGGGGACGCCGGTCCTGCTTTGCGAGCCGCAGGGCAGCCCAGCCCGGTTCCTGGGGTGCGTGGGCTGGATCTGAGCGCAGGGGGTGCGCCTGGGGAGTGCAGAGCGCAAGCGGCCGAGGCTTTTCTCAGGTACAGTTGGCGAGGTAGATTTTGTGGAATAGAGAGGCGGAGGGAGGGGCAAGACGAGAGTGGGCAGTTGCTGGCTGCGGGAGCGTTGCTGGTGTCTTACCAGGAACAGTTCGGGAATAGTGCAGATTTACAGCTTGTGGGAAATTAACCGTCCTCTTCCCCTTACATGTGGCATGGGGCGCTTGTTTGGCGACGTTAAACATAGGATGTTCAGCCTCTGAATCGGAGCTGGCCGAGGGGTTCCCTTTCAAGAGGTGCAAGTCGCAAGAAGTGCTCTCCATGCAAAAAGGAGGCCCTCCCTATGGCATGAGGAAAAATGGAGGGCTCTGGAGATGGACGCAGCTGGTGCCAAACGGTCAGAGACGTGATGGGTATGGAAGCCTGGTGTATCCTTGAAAGCAATTCAGGCAGAAATCAAGCAGGATGCTCCTCTCTGCAGTGAGGAAGAGGTGGCCATCAGAATAAAGGAGGGGGGCCGTGGCTGTGTATTCCCTGTGCCTTAAAGCAGGGCTTGGCAGGACATCTTGCATCTGGAAAGCAAGGAATGTGGGGATCGTGTTGACTGATACACTAAGGGAAGTGGGTGTGGTGTGGCAAGGGGATTATAAACAAAGGGCGAGATAGAATTACTCTTCTGCAGTTCCGCCCAGACAACAAAATGGGGGGAGCCTCCAGGAGGGGAGAGAGAAACTGGGAAACTCAAGCCCTGGGAGGAGTTTCTTCGCTCCACTTCCGTGCTGCCCCATAACCTGAAGGTTGATGTTCGTAGTGCTTGGTTTTTTCCTCTTTGTATTCAGGCTTGTTTGAGAGGATGCGTGCAGCCCGTGATGCAAGCGGTTGCATTTGGTGGCCACCTTTGCCGGGGAGCAGTCTGTTGCATTTCTGCCGTCCAGGCAGTGCTGTGTGTCTCTCTGCCTTCGCTGCGTGTCTCGTACCACTCCCAGAGGGGAGAGGCGATCACGGTCTTTATCAAAGGAATGCTTGGTAGCTGCTAGCTCACTTTCTTGGGGGACTTCCAGATCATCAAGCTTCGGGATCAGGAATGATCCGAGTGTGGGAATGCTGCCCCCTATGCTACTCTTTGAACTGGGCCCTGCTGTAGTGTTGCTCCTCCTGCCTCAGTGATGGCATTCCAAGGTATGGACTTAATGGCTTCCTTTCCTCTTCCCTCCTCCTGACCCTTGAAATTTTGTTTGAGGCCTAATCATTAGTGCCAGGGGCCGTTGTAAGGAAGTAGGATTGGCTAACTTCCTGAATTTGTGGGATAACATGTTGCGCTATAGCAGTTAAATATTGTAAACCACCCAGAGACTCCATTTGGAGTAAGGGGCAGCACACACATGCAAAAATAAATAAATAAATAAATATAGCAGAGAGATGGTTATCAAGCACACATTTCTGCTGGCCTGGTACTGTGCGATTGTTTTGGAAATGCTGCTTGGATGTAAACCATTCTTTGAGGGCTAACATGCAGGGTCAAATAAGTTGTGTGGGGCTTTTAAAGTTGGTTGCATAACACCAAAGTCGGCTGCCTTTTCGTTGGTGATATTCGCATATTCCACTAGTGGAACTTGCTCTGGCGTAGTGGTCCAGTCATCGTTCCGTGGTGTGAGTGGCCCAGCAGCTCTGGAGGCGGGCAGGGCCCTCTGATCCCCCTTCCAGAACTGGCTGTTTGGTGGGCCAGCTCTCCACAGGATCCTCAGTGCATTAATCAAAATAAATACGGCAAGCCTGCAGATTAAGGCAAGTCGGGCGAGCTGTGAGGACTGTTGTTGTGGGGATAAAATGGACTGTACAGGCTGCCTTGGGTTCCTCAGAAGGGGAGAAAACCCAGGTTATAAATGCAACGTGATCATAACCATGCTTGGCTGTGTGTTGGCGTCTTCCAGATCACACAGTCACCTTGTGAGTGGGCTCCCAAGCACATCCCTTGGGGCTGCAGAAATGCGCCTTCGCTTTCACAGGTGGAGGACAGAGGCGCCTGTTGGGGGCAGCTGACTTCCTTGCCCAGGCTTGGCGGAAGGGCTCCCAGAGCCACCCGGTCCCTGCTGATGTGGCTGCTCGGGGTTTGGGAACTAGCGCCCATTGTACAAGGTGAGACAGAGCCACGGCACTGGTGCTCCGTGACCACTTTTCAGCATGCAAAATGTGTGGCAGCCTTTTAGCTCCAAAGAATGGTATAAATCTGAGAGGAGGATGGTGTTTGGCATTAGACCTCTGGAAGATGTGAGCATAAATGGGCTGCTGATATTCTTGTCTTATGTTTTGGAAACGTGTATAGGGAACAAAGATAAGTCTTTCAGGTCTTGTACAGTTTTGTAAGAGTCTGGCTTCTTTGTATTCCTTGGTGCAAAATACCAGCTTCTTCCAGAGTGTTGCCACACCAGAACCGAGTGTGAGCCACAAGTGGAAATAGCTGTTTCAAGAGGGGGAAAGCATGTATTCTTCGCTTTACTTAGCACTGTATCTGCCACCAGAGGACAAGTGCACTTTTCCACAGCTGTTGATACATTTCAGGCTGTGAGCCATTAAGGGGGAACAGGGCAAGTTGGAGTTCTAAATATAAGTTACTCTAAGGGGGAATTGGGTTGGGGGCACTGCTGATGGCAGTCGCTGGAATAGTTTTCAACTCAGGGAAAAAGTATTGCAAATCCCCAGAGCATTCATGGGTTATATACAAGAAATTTTTGAATTCCAAAGGAGGCAATCCTAAATGTCGCTGATCACATGTCCTAAATTTTAGGAAAGCTGGCTTTAATAATCTGAAAGTAAGGTCCCGTGGAAAGCCGCTCTGATGAGAAAAGGAAGCCAGGATGGGCAAGAATGTTTGACACAAGGAAATTCTGCAGACACAATTGCAAACAATTTGAACAAAAGAAAACGGCGGCTACACAAGCAGCCCGTGTGGCTTCATGAAAAGCTCAGGGATGATCTGAAAACCAAAAAGGAAGTGGAGAAAAGAGTGAAGGCAAGTAGCAAGGAATTGCAAGGCTGGTGTTTGGAGGGATAAAATGGCAGGTGCTGAGGTTAGCAAGGCCCTCAAGCTAAAAGCAACCCCCCCCCCCCGCCGCCGCCCCGGCAAAAGACCTTTGGACATGGTAAAAGGCAGGAAAGAGAGGGCGGGTCACAACTCACTGAGGGTGGCCAAACAATAACGTAAGAAAGAAAAGGTGGAAATTATCCATTCCTGCTTTGGCTCTGCCTTCTCCCAAAAGGGAGTGTAATGATTGCTGGCAAAGGGGAAGCCTGAGCTGAAGGGGCTCAGTTGCAGCTTGAGACTGATGGGGAACGTCTCATGAGGTTGAACGAGTTCGCGTCTCCAAGGCCTGATGAGCTGCATCCTGGCATAATAGCAGAAGATTTTCAGACCCACGGCCTGTTGTCTTGAGAAATTTGGAGGACGAGTGCAGTGCCACATGACTGGAAGGGGACTGATGTCATCCCCATCTTGGAAAAGGGGGAACCTGGGAACTACACACTGGTCAGTGTGACATCAGTCTCTGGAGAAATTCTGGAGCAAATTATAAAGCAGTCTTCTTCAAACACTTTGAAAACCACAATAGTCATGACTAGAAACTAGCATGGGTTTTGTCAAGAAGTCTGGACAGACTAATCCGGTTTCAGAGTTGGTCAGGTAACTTCCCTGGTGGACTGTGGGAATGCTGTGGACCTCTACCTTGGCTTTTGGCAAAGTGCCCATGATAACATGGTCAGCAAACCAGCTAAGAGTGGAACCACCAAGTGGAACTTGGAGGTGGAACAAGTATCAGGTGGATCTACAGTTGGCTGCAGAATACAACAGTGGAACTGATAACCCAGGGAATTCTCAGGCTGTCCCACACCGGGGGCATTCAGGATGTAGCTGGACAGCCATCTGTAAGGGCTATGAGCTAGGCACTGAGCAGCTGGCTTGGACCTCTTGGCTCCTTCCCACTCTAGAATTCTAAGCAAAATTAGACAAAAGGGATAACAGAAATTAACATCAGTTATATACATGAAAAGAGAATCAAAATAGATGCATTTCAGCATGACGTTCTCCTTGTGTAATATATTCAGACTTATACATTTGTCCCTAGTTTGATATTAAAGGGGAATTTTAAAATGCTGCATTTTGAATCGAGGCCCTTTCCGCTTCCCTGTAAGAACAAAAGAAGAGGCATGCTGGATTGGACCAGGCTCCCATCCAGACCAGCATTCTGTTCACACGGTGGCCCATCAGCTGCCCACAGGGAATCCAGAAGCAGGGCAGGCGTGCGACAACCCCCCCCCCATGTCCGCAGGCACTTGCGCGTACGGACCCTGCCACCGGCGCCCTGTTGTCATGAGGAGTTGCCACTGACAGCCACTGCCTCCATCATGGTGCCCCGTGTGGGATCTGTTTCCATCCCTCCTTTGGGATAACGCACGATGCTTTGCGACCGTCCGCTTTCTGAGGATAACCAGTTAATAATCTCGGAGAAGACCTCTCCTCTTACTTCATGATCGACTTCGCTTTCTCCCAGTTTGCTCAAGGGTCTTGGGTGAGGGATTTTGTCAAAAGCCCTATGCAAGCTTGCGTAAACAATATGTAATTCTGAAAAGCTCTTGCGACAGGACTTCCCCTGATGGAAGCCATGCTGATTTTTTTCCCAACTCAGGGTACGCCTTTCCAAGGCAGGAATTTCTGATTAGCTTGCTAGTGTTTGTAGTTATGCTTTCATATTGTTTCAGCTTTACTATTTTTAACTCATATTGACACATACTGTATTTGTATAAAACATTACAATCACATATGTATTATACATGGGCTGTGGGACTTGGATAATTTCTGCACAAAGGAAGCTGTCTAACACACTGACTATTGGCATTGAAATCAAATCTACAACAGTGTGAGCTGGTGCATACTTAGAAGTAAATACCTCTGTCAGTTGTGGGTTTTGATGTAATATATAACACCTAGGATTGCATTAGGGCTATTTTGAAACACCTGTTATGAATATCACAGACTAGACTTGTGTAAATTGTATACTGTTAATAAACAGCGCACCGGCTTAATTCAAACTGAATTTGTCATTTGTGCAATCAGTTAAAATGCCATTCCAATATGCAATTTTCTATATTTTAGGGATTTTTTTAAGGGGAACGATTGATGAAAGATTCCAGTTGCATTTAAAAATCCATCGTAAATTGGAATAAGCTTCCGTTATAAAACATTATCGATTACAGAACCAGAATGGGGGTTTTTTGTTTTGTTTTCTGCTAATTACAATATATCCTGACCCTCGATTCGATCGTCGTGGTGGGTCACTTGCTTTTTAAAACGATTCAGAGGTAAAGCCAGACAAAGCCCGCGAGGTGCAGCCTTGGCACTTCCGCGAAGGGCGGCGGGGGCGCGCGGCCGAGGTCGGAGAGGCGGGCCGCGCAGGGCGCCTTCGTGGCCGGGAGGCTCCCCGGGAAGGGCGCCCGGCCCCAGCGGGGCAGCCCAGCGGGGGCCGGGGGCCGTGCCCTCGGCCGCGGAGAGGCCTCCCGCCCGGGCCCGAGCGCAGCGCCGGCCGGG